GGGGGGAGGGTAGGGTAGATGGTGCGATTTAGATAATAAGCAACCGAAACGAACAGTCTCTTCTGGTTCGTGCAAGGTACTGCTGTAGTCGTTCATTCCAGTGTAGATGGTGCCCACCGGAGGCCAAACGTCTGCCAACTTGTGCAAAGTCTGCAGTAACACTCATATGCATCACGGTTGCCAGCAACGATAAATTTCACAAGAAATTCCCTGCACCACGTGATAGCGAATAATGTTATTTTGCCTTCGCGAGAGACGCACACAAATAAGTATACAGGTCAATGCTCAAATTCAAAAAGCGGTAGCGGTTGTGTATGCGTCAGACCTACACCTGTTTGAACAGATGGATGTGAATACAACAAACTTTTGACAACGTACGGTAGGCGGATCTTTTTGATGACCGACTAAGAAGAGACTACATGTGTAAGCAAGCGAGGTGCAAGTTAAAGTGTGAGTGTTAAGTAGATCGCGCTGCTGGCCAGCCGACCATTGGAGATAAACGTTCGTCACGTCCGTCGGTCTCCACAAATCAAACAGCGGATGTATGGATGGATGTAATCAATACGCGAACACCCTGGTGTGTGTGTGGATCTTGCATTGGCTCGACCTCGCTGACCGGCTGACGACGATCGTAGGCCATTTCTCAGCGCGGGAATACTGTACGTAGTCTAACGCAATAAACACGCGTGCGTGCGTGTAACTTATTGTTTTGACTTCCTCAGTCTCAGTGCGGCTGAAAACAGAAAATGCTTCTACTACTGCTGTAAAAAGGCCATGACCTATGACCTCGTGAGGGGGCGTCATGGAGTGTGTGTAGCTATCTTATTTGAATCGACCGCGCTAACCGGCTGACGAATGAAAACATGTCGCAAGTCTCAGTGCTGGTGGACGTGTGTGCGTACTGTAAAAAGTGATGCCCTTCGCATGCTGCTTCTACGTGATGCACGGCCGCCTCCCTCCCTAACGCTGCAGGGTCCCTGGCTATTCGCGGTGAGCACTTTCCTTCCACTACTCAATAAGATGGAAACACATGATGCCGTGCACGTGAGAGGGCTAAGAGACTCCCCGGCGTCCGTATACACAGCGGCACCAGTGGCATCGGTCGTCGGGACAACACAGACGGCATTTGTTTTGCCGTTCACCGGTCGTGTACGCTATCTACGTAACGGCGTCTAGAAGAAAACCACCGTACGTGAGAAGAGTCGGAGAGTTGGCACCGGGTGCGATCGTTTTTTCAATATCTTCTTGTTTTTTGTTTTCCTCGTTTTTTTTTTCGCACCACTTCTCCCTTCTTCCCCTCGCTCCTCGACAAGCTTTTGCTTAGACATGGGTTGTAGTGAAGGGGGGGGTCTTTCTGGCGAGCAGGGCTAGACTCACCCTCAAGGGATGACCGAAACCTTCTTGCTGCTGCGCATATCCGCCGCGAGGCATGCGCGTGGTGGTGTAGTTGGGTCGGC